CCTGGCACAAACCAAGTACCTATACAGGCATAATGCAGCTTTGAAGATTCTGTTTTTTGAGCTCCTGCGAGAGCATGGGTTAATGGAAGAGGGTTGTGCCTAAATCATACCGTCCAAAAGGACAGCCGAGGAGTACTAGGAAGGAGTTTCCGATTCGGGCCGACTTAACAAAGGTTTTGGCCGACTTCGGAAATTCTCGAAAACATCCAATATGGCGGCTCAAGTGTGGTAAAAACTGACAGCCAAAGGAGCCGTTTTATCGCCAGAGAAGCGTGACTTACGGTATTATTGACGAAGTTTGCGTTTATTGTGACTTTTGCAGAGTTCGTGGACCTTTATAGTAAGCAATCCTCTAAGAAATGTCTTATCAATTTGTCTTGTCCCGCTGGCCGGTATTACCGAAGAAAATACAGGACCTGAACAATAGATGAAATCAATAATCGATGGCAATCAATAACAATCGATGACAATCGATATAAATTAATCGATTGATATTGATAATCGATGGACAATCGATCATGAAAATTTTTGTGATTATTGATTATCATCGATTATCAATATCAATCGATAATCGATTGGAATCAATCAATAGATTGTTATCAATATGCAATATCTCTTGATATCAATCGATTACCTATGCAGTCAAACATTTCAATTGTCAATTTCATCTAGTACTAATAAAGTTACACATTTTGATATCATTGCTTGAGTAAAAACTAGCGAGTAGCAATGCGTAAACTTGTTTATTTGCCCACACGTTTCGCGCGAGTTTAAAATTCAGCGAAACGTACTACAGATTTGTGTGTAAGAAAAACGAACCCCACTGTTATGCTTTAACGAAACAGCTGGCAAATTAGGCAAATTAGGCAATCAATGGCAATCGATGAAGTTCGCGACCCCCTAAGTGTGATTATCGATTGATTATCGATTGGCCGATGCCAATTTTTATGTAGTGTATACGATGCTAATGCAAGCGCGTAGAAGCGAGAGAATGAATGTGATGTAGTACACACGGGAATTATGTAATTTGCATGTACTATAGATAGCGTGTGTTGTAATTTATTCGAGTCAGTTAGCGTTCTGAGTTCGGAGTGTAACGGTCGTGAATAAAGTGTGTTTTAACCTAACCGCGGTACTACATTGGCGACGAGGATATTTCGAGGATATTTCGAGGATTTCGCCGAGGGTTTCAAGAGTTTCGTTGAAAATTTCGCTGTGGATTTCGTCGAGGATTTCGTCAAGGATTTATTTCAGCGATGCCGGGAGGCGGTGGATCGGGCGAAACTAACGCGACAAGCGGTACTACGAGCGGTGCTGTTGGCGGTTCTGGGATGACTTCTGTTACTTTAGATGTCAGTGGATTGGAACCATTTAATCCAAAAGGAGAGGCGCACAATTTAAGTCAGCGATGGAAGAAGTGGAAGCGAGCGTTCAGTTTGTATGTGACCGGGAAAGGTGTATCGAACGACGCTCAAAAACGTGCTTTGCTGTTGCATGTCGCTGGTATGGATGTGCAAGAAATTTATTTCACACTAGCTGGTGAGGGTGGAGATGCAAGTTTTGAAGCAACGTTAAAGGTGTTGGACGACCATTTCGTGCCAAAGGCGAACATTCCCTTTGAGAGACATTTGTTTCGACAAATTTCGCAAGGGATCGGAGAGACAGTTGATCAGTTCGTTTGTAGATTGCGTCAGCGAGCAGCGACTTGTGATTTTGGCGCCGGCGAGGATGACTACATTCGCGATCAGCTCATAGACAAGTGTTATTCGAGCCATTTACGCCGGAAATTTCTGGAAAAGGAAGGAACTGTTACGTTAGATGAGTTGTTGCGTGTTGCAAGATCCCAAGAAGCGGTTGATCGACAACTGAAGCAATACAGTACCGACCAAGCAGATAACCAGGTCAATGCAGTGGGTGGCAGGCTGTATGGAAACAAAAATCCCAGGAAAGCGAAGACGTGCTTTAGCTGCGGACAAGAAGGACACTTCAGTCAAGACAAAAAGTGCCCGGCGCGTGGTCAAACTTGCAGGAAGTGCGGCGAAACAGGCCATTTCAAAGTTAAATGCCCTCGACTCCATCAGCTAAGCAGGACCCATTCGGGATCTAGAGGACCTGAGAGTAGCAGAGGCGGACGCGGCAGAGGAGGCAGGAGTGCTGGTGGACTGGGTCGAGGTGGACGCGGACGCGGAGGGCGAGAGACGAACCTCGTGACTGGAAGACCTAGCCCTGGAGAAGAAGACAAAGGAGATTTCGCTACACCAGGCCATTCGCAAAGACCCGATTATGCCTTTTCAGTGGAACAGGTGAATGATCGCAAGGAACAAAGGAGCGCTTTGGTAACGCTGGTCATTGGTGGTGTAGACGTACCCGATGTTCTCATTGATTCGGGAGCTTCATGTAATGTTATGGGCCAGCAGACCTGGGAGTTGTTAAAGCAAAAGGGGATTAACTGTGAATCTCGCAAATCTGCAAAGGAACTTTTTGCTTATGGTGGTACAGAACCTTTACCGACCCTAGGAACGTTCACGGCAGATGTCACGCTGGCTGGGTTTGAAAACGGAAGTAATGCTGATTTTGTGGTGGTTGAAGGCGATGGTCGCACGCTGTTGGGCCGAGAGACTGCCGAGGCGCTAAACCTGTTGCGTATTGGTCCTTTTCAGACAAACAGTGTTGACGGTGGGCGATCGGACGGGGATGTCAGAGAGAAATACAAGCACTTGTTTAGTGGTGTTGGTCTTTTAAAGGGCTACGAGCTTAAGCTACACATTGATGAGTCAGTGAAGCCTGTAGCGCAGCATGTACGCAGGATACCGTTCGGGTTACGCGAGAAGGTGGATGCAAAGCTGGATGAACTTTTGGAGCTTGACATTATAGAGGAAGTGCCGGAGGGGCCGTCAGGATGGATTTCGCCGTTGGTGGTGGTTCCCAAAAGCGGTGGCGACGTAAGAGTCTGTGTTGATATGCGTCGTGCAAATGAAGCAATCGTCCGAGAGCGTCACCCAATTCCAACCGTTGAGGAGCTGTTACACGACTTGAATGGCAGTACGGTGTTCAGCAAGATAGATCTCAAGTGGGTTTTCACCAGATTTTACTCAGTGAGGAAAGTCGCCACATCACTACCTTTGTCACGCATCGAGGGCTTTATCGTTACAAGCGGTTGATGTTTGGCGTAACGTCGGCGCCGGAGAAATATCAGCAGATCATTAGAGATGTGTTAAGGGGTTGTGCTGGGGTTGCGAACATTGCGGACGATCTCATTGTTCATGGGTGTGACGTGGAGGAACATGACAAGCGTCTTTTGCGGTGTTAGATAGGCTGAGTGAAGTGGGGTTGACGGTGAACGGAGACAAGTGCGAGTTTAGATTGTCAAGGCTTACGTTCTTTGGTCACGAGCTGACTAGTGACGGCATAAACCCATCCGAAGAGAAGATTGCTGCTATAAGAGATGCTAGATCTCCCAAAGACGCAAGTGAAGTGCGATCGTTTATGGGTCTTGTCCAATATTCCGCTAAGTTCATGCCTGACGTGGCGTCCGTGGCCAAGCCTATTCAAGAGTTAACCAGGAAGGGCATCGTGTTTCACTGGGGTAAAGAGCAGCAAACAGCCTTTGAGGAACTGAAGCGTCTAATCACCCAGGCAGAGACACTGGCTTATTTTAAGGTTGGCTGCAGAACGCGAATCATTGCCGATGCGTCTCCAGTTGGATTAGGAGCGGTTCTCACCCAGCAGCAGGGGGAATGTGGAGAGTTGTCTCCTACGCGTCGAGGAGCCTAACTGACGTGGAACGACGCTACAGCCAAACAGAGAAGGAGGCACTTGCCTTGGTCTGGGCGTGTGAACGGTTCAACATGTACGTTTCCGGACAGAGCTTCGAGTTGGAAACAGATCACAAGCCTTTAGAGCGTGTCTACTCGCGCACTTCAAAGCCTTGCGCCCGAATAGAGAGATGGGTCTTAAGACTACAAGGGTACGATTTTAAAGTGGTGTACCGCCCAGGGAAGACAAATATAGCCGACGCGTTGTCCCGTTTGAACTCCTTGGATCAAGTGGACCATGGAGAAGACTACGACTTTGTCAGAGCCATTGCTATAAGCTGTATACCCGTTGCTCTATCACCTACAGAAATTGAAGAAGCTTCCTATTTTGACGAAGAATTGACGATAGTAAAGAGTTGCGTGAGGTCAGGGGACTGGGACCGGTGTACACTTCCCTCGTATGCACAAGTCAAGGACGAATTATGCGTCTATGGTGAGCTATTGCTTCGCGGCACAAGGATTGTGGTTCCCAAGCTCCTGCGCGACAGGGTGGTGCGGCTGGCACACGAAGGGCACCAGGGTATAGTGAAGACGAAGTATCGGCTCCGTAGTAAAGTTTGGTGGCCGGGAATGGACAAGGAAGTTGAGAAATTTTGTAAAGTTTGTCATGGCTGCCAGGTCACTTCTGGATTTAACCCTCCTGAGCCGATGTCCCGCGTTCTTCCTCCAAGCGCTCCTTGGCAGGATTGTGGAGCAGACCTGCTGGGACCCCTACCCACAGGAGAGAGTATTTTGGTGGTGATCGATTACTACAGTCGTTTCTTAGAAGTTGCTATTCTGAAGTCTACTACAAGTGCCAAGGTCATCGAAGCACTTGCACCCATGTTTGCCAGATTCGGTTTTCCGTTCTCTTTAAGGACAGATAATGGGCCCCAGTTCGTATCCGAAGAATTTGAAGCATATTTACGCGCAAATGGTATTGAGCACAGGAAAACGACGCCGTTGTGGCCTCAAGCTAATGGAGAGGTGGAACGCCAAAATCGCTCGTTACTTAAATGTCTACAGATTGCACATTTAGAAGGAAAGAACTGGAGAACTGAATTGCTTGTATGGTTGATGGCGTACAGATCCACTCCGCAAACGACGACGGGGACTACCCCCTGTTACATGATGTTTGGCCACGAGGTTAGGTCCAAATTGCCAGAGTTAAGGAGAGAGACGGTCGGAGTGCCAGGCGAAGAGGTGCGAGAGCGGGATTGGTCAAGTAAATTAAAGGGCAAAGCTTATGCAGATCTCAAGAGAGGTGCCACGCCCAAGAGCATACGTGTTGGTGACACAGTACTTTTGAAAGCCGAGAAAACGAACAAGCTGTCTACCAACTTCAACCCTGCTCCTTTTAAGGTGGTTCAGAGGACAGGAACAGAGGTAACGCTTAGGAACGAAGCTGGTGTGCAACTGAAAAGGAACACTGCGTTCGTAAAGAAGTACAACGAGCACAATGGTGTATCCAATGGCAACGAAGACCAAGTGGTAGAAGCAAGTTCTACAGTACAGACAGATGAGCCAGGGCCAAGCAGAGTTCCGGAGACGACAGAGGTATCAGGGCCAAGCGGAATTCCAGGGACTACAGGAGTATCTGAAAATTCCCAAGTACAAGCTGGGCATTCTACCGAAAAGGAAGATAACGCAGCGGAAAGGCCTGTGCGGAGGTCGACCCGAACTATAAGACAGCCTGCGCGCTATAAAGACTTTGTCCTGGATGTTTAGGACTTCTTCTTTTTTGTCTAGTTTAATTCAAAGACTTTGTTTTGCTGAACATTTAGGGTTTTTGCAGCCTTTTAAAACTGCCTTCCTGCTAAATTTGATCAAAGAAGGGAATGTAGTGTATACGATGCTAATGCAAGCGCGTAGAAGCGAGAGAATGAATGTGATGTAGTACACACGGGAATTATGTAATTTGCATGTACTATAGATAGCGTGTGTTGTAATTTATTCGAGTCAGTTAGCGTTCTGAGTTCGGAGTGTAACGGTCGTGAATAAAGTGTGTTTTAACCTAACCGCGGTACTACAATGCTAATCAACAATAATTAATCGATTGTCATCGATTGATCGATTGATTTTCCGATCATCGATTTTCATTGATTGTTCAGGTCCTGAAAATAGTACCGGTCAACGGGACATCCTAAATTATAGCAACATTTGTTGGCATGTACATCACCTCTAGCTTTCATTGCTAAACTGTGTTGTAGAACTTGATTTCTTTAGGTTTCTAAAAGCTTAGGATAACTCTTTAGGAATATTTTTATTCATAAAAGTGGCCCTATCCTTTTGGCCTGTATTATCCTAGGAAGTAGCACCGCCAGTAGCAGGACATCCTAAACTATGTCAGCAGTTGGTTGCATGTATTACATTACATGCAGCTTGTTATTGTTACATTGTAATACATACTTTGCTCTCTAAAGGCTTTTTCCTACCAGCTGGGGACAGCTGAACAAAGATAGTTTTTTTTCATTCCTTGTTGTTGTAATCACCTAAGAATGTCTACCCAGGGGGGCACTCTATAGGGACTACTCAGGTATAACAGTGATGGGGAAGTGCAAAACCCTTTTTCTGGTTTGACATTTGAAATCCAAGGATAACCGAACAGGAGTGACTTTTATTCTTGAAAATTGTCTTGTACTTTTGAATGGTATAAGCTAAGAAAATAGTACCACCCACCTAAATTAGCTCAGCAAGCTTGTAGGGGTGATGAATGGTCCATTAAAATTTTTAACTGCTCGCAAAATTTTACCTTTGCTCGATTTGCTCACAAAATTTAAACGAGTGCTCGCTTGCTCGTGCTCCCCGAGTTTTTGCAGTTGCTCGCATGCTTGCTTTCTTGTCAGTATTGCTCAAAATTTTGTAAATCCTTCTTTGGGTTAAAGTAAATGTAGTTCTCTATGGTGCTTAATTCCTATAGATATGGCTATTAAGTTCAGTGGAAATGCGTGCGGCAATAAATGACAACGGTAAATAAATTACCTAATCTAGCTATATATGGTTAAAAAGAGAAGATATTGTTACCTTTAATTCTTCTGAGTTTCTCTACCGCTCTACTCACTGGGCTTTAATTAGGCTGTGTTTTCAATAAAACGGTTTGGAAGCTTTAGGATTCTTCCAGAAGAGGTTGTTCTTGTTTGAGTTGAAATGCTCGATGAGAAGAGTCACCAAAGCTTTCACATTTACCTTGCTCAAGTAATCTCAATGTGCAGCTTCTATTTCACATTGAATTCATTTTAAAGCCTCCAGGGTCATTCTTGTTCCCGAAATAGTCTCGGAGGATGGAACACCATGGGGGCCTTCCACAGAAGTTCTGCCACTGTTTTAAAAAACCCATTTTATAATATTTTCTGTTTTGTTTAAAAAAAAAGGATTTCCATATGGATTGCTGCAAGCGGAAAATATAAGAAGTGCTCGCTGCTTGCGAGTTGTACTGTCTAAGCTGCTTGCAAAGCAAATTTTTTATCTCTGCTTGTGCTTGCAAAAAAATCGCAGTGTTTGCATGCTCGCAAAGACCATTCGTCACCCCTGCTTGTGTTAAATTTGTCATGGTTTATCAACATTGGAAAAATGTTTTGAAAGTTAATTATTTATCTCAGGTAATTTTCGTTTTTCTTTTGTTTTGGGGTATGGTAATGTATGATAATGACATTGAAACAAATGGAAAACAAAAATTACCTGAGATAAAAAATTAATTTCCCCTTTATATTTCTTGTGTTACTCAATTATTAAGGAACACAATGAGTTTGGAGTTGCTTTCAACAATAATTGGTTGTACATGTGTAAGTGTTCGGATCCAGGAGGGGTGGATTTTGATAACATTTACTTCATGTAAGACTTCACATAATTCCCTTAGGTGGCTGGGTCAATTTGGGGGCAGGGTGGAGGAGGGGTGGTGGGGGTAGTGGGGCTGTTGACAGTGGGGAAGGGGGAAAGTGAAAAATGGAGAGTCTCCAGAATCTACAACCGAGGTTGGCATTTTTGCTTTCCTTGACAAGCAATTTCCCATGCTGCCAAGGTAGGTAGGTTTTTGGGTATGGTAATGTATGATGAGTTTGAAACAAAAGAAAAGAAAATTTAGACCAAAGATAATATTGAACCACAATTTCAGTATGGAGAGGAGGTGAGGGGGAGAAAAAAAAAAAACTTTATTACTTTCCAAATTCTGGCTTTTCAAATTAATTACAATATTCAATAAAATATGTAAAACTATAAAATAATAAGAAATGATTAAAATCGTATGTATATAACAAGATTTAACAAGGCAATATATTTACAACAAAGCTTCTAAAATTCTCTTTATAAATGGCGCATAAGTTCCTTTTTGAATTGATACAAGGTTTGTAAGCTCAGTGAGCCTTTCGGGTAAGGAATTCCACAGTGAAACTGCTCGATAATGGAAGGTTCTTTGGCCTGTGGCCGTTCTGTACCCTGGAATGTCTATCTTATTCTTTTTCCATTTGTCTTTATTGTGGATTTCAGGCCTCTTTTTGAACTTCTTAGCAGGATAGTCAGGGGCCAATCCCCTTAAACACTTAAAAACCAGTATGCAATCCCTGTAGATAAGCATGGATTCGACGGACAACCATTTCAGTTCTGTAAGAACAGTGGTAATGTGATCAAATTTCTGCAAACGGGTTATAATCCTAGTTGTGAAGTTTTGGACATTCTGTAATTTGTTGATATTCTTCTTTGTTGTACTAGACCAGATGGACGAACAAGTTTGCTAGAGACCAGTGCATTGATAACGTTTAATAGAGTGTTTCTGTCCAAAAGATGTTTTTTACCCTATTAATTTGACTTAAACTTGACAAGCAAGAAGATGTAATACTTGTAATATGTCCATCAAAACTCATTGTAGTGTCCATATGCACTCCAAGGTCCTTCACTGAAACAACCAGACACAACTCTTTCTCCAGTAAAGTAACATGCAAATCCAGATCTGCAGGCGTAATTTGAAGCATTTGATGGGTGCGAATTAAAAGCAATTTCATCTTATCCGGGTTAATCTGAAGGCTCTTTTGGCAGCACCATGCGGCAACTTTCCTCAGATCTTTGGTTGTATCTTTATATCTTTAGAATAGTTGCTCTTGTCACAAAAAAGGTCAAACAGTAAATAGATAAGGGATATTTTCATGAACTTTTTTAAAATAATTTTAAACAATTTTTAAGAGTAAAATTTAAAAAGATTTTTAAAAAATGAGAAAATTATACTGCTGTCACAATCTATTACAACTACAGGGTATGATTTGTTTTGATAGTGCCAGCTAGAGAGGACAGCCAACTGTACCAACCTTTTTATGCTGAGTTGTTATTACTGACCAGTCAAACAACACACAAATAATGAGGACAGTTAATAAACATGATTCTATAATAATAAATAATAACAACAACAACAATAACAATAATATTTATGTAAAAGATTTGAACCCAGGAGTTATTTCAAAAGTAGGTTGAGTTTGATCGTCCGGGTTAACATAGTCCTGAATAGGACTGTTGTTGTTGACAGTGACTGACGTTTCGACAACCTGTGCGGAAGTCATCTTCAGAGTCAAAGTGAGTTGTATCATGTCAGTTGATGGTAATACCGGCCAAAAGGACAGGGCCACTTTTAATCAATCAATCAACAACTTTATTTAAGTGTCTAGTCTTCTAGCTTGCCGTCAGGCCTACTAATCGGGGACACTACTTAAATAACTTATTAATAACAGGGCTCAAAATATTGGCCGGTCAACGGACAATGTGCGGCCTGATCGTGGGCTTGACCGGTCAAACTCTCGTCTCGCCGGTCATTTTGACCGGTCATTTTTGGATGCTTGTCCCTTAATGTGTTTTGCCCTATAATGCTGTAATTCGCTGCTTTGGCTTTTTTTGCTGCTTTGCACTAAACCCTTTAAAGAAAAATGTTCTGCTTTGCTGTGATCAGTAATGCAACCTTCTTGGGGAAAACATACGCTAACAATAACCCGTTATTTTTTAGACTACTAAAGGATGAGTGACAGTTTTTGTCCATCAAACATTTCACATCTACTTGTAAGAGGATTGTGAAAATCACCTTCAACGGAATTCGGGCTAATCGATCGCTCGTCCTGTACTGTTTCTCTGGGAATAAATTTCAGCGCATCGATTAATTATAAAATTTCTTTATGTCGAACATAATCTCGTTTGCAGACTCGATTCCAGAATTGTCTGATAAAAACTTAGGCCCGGTTCAAACGTCGAATTTCACATGTGCCGAACTTAACGCGAGAGTTAAATGCATGTGAAGTGCGACGTTTGAATCAATTAAATTCGACAGTTTAAATTAAATGCGACGTTTGCCGTATCTGCGACTGAAACAGTCGAAGATTCGACTTGGGGTCGACTTTTGATTCAAACGTCGCATTTCACATGTGCCAAACTTAATGAATGAATTTTAGTAAATTATTATTATATTACTGAGAATATTGACAGCGAAGAGAGCTAAATTCGACAGAGTTCAGTGAGATAAATTCGACGTTTGAATCAAATGCCGTATTTAACTATTTTAGTCGACTAAAATAGCAATTAAATTCGGCACATGTGAAATTCAACGTTTGAACTGGGCCTAAGCTAATCGAGAATGAACGTCACCTATCTCTGCTATCTCGGCGCTTAAAATCCTTCTTCTTGATAAGCGGTTCGCGATAAAGTGTTGCGCGACGACCCAAACGAAAGCTCTGCTGTATATTTATTGACTTCTGATGACGAATACGCTGTTTGTGGAACAAATTTCTTGCCAAATCAACTTCTTTGCCGCAAATATTTAGCGACGAAATTCTTCTTTGTGGAGGAGACTTTCGATCACGTGCCGGGCAACGAAAAGGATCAAGTTTCACCGATATGCAGATATAGGACCAACCTTGAAGACTTCCGACACCGCCGTACGATGATACTGAAGGTATATATAAACGGACATAAAACGGGCGAAAATCGCGGAGAGGAACTCAACAACGTGGGAATGAATTTTTCATCAACTTGCCGGCAAAAACCCGAACGACAATGCCGTACTGCCAGTGTAATTCGATATTCCATGGGCAAAAAAATAATTATAATATTCATTAATTTGACCGGCCAAAATCGGGGTTTGTCCGGGCTAAAAAATATTTGGCCGGTCATCATGACCGGCGACCTGCTGTCCGTTATTTTGAGCCTTGAATAAGAAATATATATACATAAGACTATAAGCCAATAAGATTTAACTATTCCAAAACTAGTTAAAAGATACACGATATTCAATATACTTCGAAAATGTACCTGTGTAATAAATAAGAAAAAACTATATATACAATTTCATAATATATCAACTCTACCAGTTATGATATTTCCTGTTTATGAATTGTGAGTCACACAGGTGGCACCCTTTGCATGCGTTATTACTAACCAATTTGCTCAGATCTTTTCTCCTTATATTTGCTTTACACCTGCTTTTGACCATAAAAATGGCCCAAAAAATCTGAGGGAATGCTTTCCATATTTAAAAGTTTTTACCCTTTGAACGTGAAAGTCCGAGTTCCTCAGGTTGTAGTTCGAAGGCGATGACGAGAAGAGTTCTAGTATGTTGTAAGGCAGTAATCTATTCCTTATTTTGAACATAAAGAGAGCGATATCTTGTAATCTCATGTTATATAAATAAAAATATTCCTAAAGAGTTATCCTAAGCTTTTAGAAACCTACAGAAATCAAGTTCTACAACACAGTTTAGCAATGAAAGCTAGAGGTGATGTACATGCCAACAAATGTTGCTATAATTTAGGATGTCCCGTTGGGCGGTACGACATTTATAAAAGGATTGCTCACTGTACAGGTCCAAGAACTCTGCGAAAAGTCACAATAAACGCAAAATTCGTCAACAATACCGTAAATCACGCTTCTCTGGCGATAAAACGGCTCCTTTAATTGGCTGTCAGTTTTCACCGGCGTTTTCACCACGCTTGAACCGCCATATTGGATATTCGAGAATTTCCGAAGTTGGCCCTTAAGTCGGGCCCAATCGGAAACGCGTTCCTAGTTCTCCTCGGCTGTCCTTTTGGACGGTATGATTTAGGCACAACCATGGAAGAGGTTCCACCATGGTACTCACCGGTGATACCAAAACCAGCCTACCAGAACACCACGAGTGAGGCGTTTTGGGATATTCCCATCTATGCAGAGCACAACGAAGTTAGAGCAAATCGGATCGACGCGCGACTTGTCAACCACGAGAGGAAAGAAGTCTGCACAATTGAAATGAGCTGCCCATGGATTGAGAGTAGAGCTAAGAAAGACGAGGAAAAGACACTCAAGTATGGGCCCATGATGTGGGAGCTGAAGCAGAGATACAATGGGTACAGGGTTGAACAGTACAACGTAATAATTGACGTACTGGGGGGTTACTCTAAACACCTAGAGAAGTCGGTGAGGAAGCTACTTGGAGCGAGAGCACGGAGCGTACTTGAGCGGATGCAGAAGTCGGTCATCTCAAACACTTTAAACATTGCCAGAACATTTAAGATAAATACTTAGTTAGGGCGCTATGGACTTCAGTTTTTAGGTTTTTGTTTTTTCTCTAGAAATCTAGAAACACAAGCTTGCTGACGTTTTTACTTAGACTTTTTAGAACATTAGAGTATGATATTATTATAAATATGTTTTTAGTAGAGATAGCGAAGGTTTTACAGAGTATCAGAATTTAATAATATTCTAAATTTGCTTTTTAAGTAGAGAGATTCATATCACTATGTATTTTAGGATTGTATTAGGTTTCGTATCGACCTTTTTTTACTTCTAAGTATAGCTTCTCAAGTGGTGTAGGTTACGCCATGGGCCCTATACTATTCATAATGTGGACAGCATTCCAAAGTTTCATACTGCGACATAATAATAAGTATGGCATGGATTGACTTAAAGAGAGCGTATTATTCAGTGGATCATGGCTGGTTAAATGGGGTAATGTTGCACAGGTTTCCTACCCAGATGTACAGGGTTATCGCTAAGCTTTGCAGGAGTTGGAACACTAGGGTCTTGGTTGTCACAAGGAAATGGAGGGGAAAATCCAGACCGATAAGATTCTGTTAAGAGTTGCCCCAAGGAGACTTGCTTTGCCCGAGACTGTTTACTGTATGAAGATAAGTGCTAACGAGGGATAAAGATTGTCCAAACCCATCAGTCTTAATTTTACTGACCTCCTATATCTTGATGCCCTATATATTTCCGCTCCATCTGAGAGTAAACTCAACAGGGGCATGAACATGGTCAAACGACTATGGAAGATCAAGTGTGCAGTGGTTCCTTTGAGAAGTGGAGTGCACGTGAGTCATAACTCGGGATGTCATTGGATGAGGAGGCCAGAATACCAAGTCTTGATGACGGGAAGCAGTAAAAGTTCCTAGGCGTGCTTGATGGTGTGATGCAGGAGGATAAACTGTTCTTGGAGTGCGCTGCCAAGAAGTACCTGCGACGGATGTCGGTTATTTGGACAAACCCTTTTAATTGTCCGACCAAAATCGTGTGACCGCGTCAAACTAGTTTTCCTTGCAGGTGCTTGGTCATCATATGAGGACGCAACACTGGCTGATAAGGGATATACAGGAGATCGACAAGAAAGCTCAAAAGATTGTTATTGAAAACGAAGGAAGGTAACCCTGTGGCTCCAATGCGATATTCTACCTACCTCTAGGGAAATGGACAGAGTTCTGCGTTCGGTAGAGACGGGAATACAAAGCCATGAACATAAGGAGTGCGGTTAGACTTTACTGTAATGAAGACCCAGCCATACAAATGGAGTGTGATTATGAAGAGTGAGCAGACGAAATGGGACGGAGGTCCATGGTTAAAGAAGGGTTTAGGTTAGGGAGCGGAGGAGCTTGGTGTGGGGCTTAATTTCGAGCGCCTGGAGACGGAACTGCGAAAGTGCCAAGTAGAGAGGCTAGAGGAGGAAGTGAGAAATCAGAGATGGCAGGGAAGTCTAGTTACAACTAGATAACAGAATGAGAAGTTGAGCGCTAATGGGTGCTTTTGGTGGCTAATAGAGTGGAAGTCTTGCCTGACACACAGAATCGCCGGCATTTTTTAACCATACGAGCAACTATTACCAACTCGGTTATATGTCAGTCAGAAGACCCATACAAGTTTAGAGGCAAAGCGTGGTGTAGGTTGTGTAATAAGGCCTCAGAAAGTGTGGCTCACACATCACATCACCGACACGACTCACCTTTGAAGGTGCTGTTTATGAGATGCTGCAGGATCTGGGCCTCATAGACCAGGCACCACCTTTGTAATCTGCGGCCAAGTTCAAGCCCGTTTACGAGTCGGGTACTGGGACGTGCAAGTGTTTGCAGAGTATGAAGAGGTAATCCAAGAAATCCAACAGAGTTGACGCCCAAATCCTCAAGCACTAGTACTAAATTATTAAGTAAATATGAAAAATCTTTTCCACCTTGGACATTATGCCAGCTTTTCTTCAACTGATGTTTCATCTTTTTATTTAGGGAAAAGTCATAGGGTCATCCTCTAGTTTTCCCTTTCAAGATGTTTTATAGTTTTATTTTTCTCGTCTTGAATAAATACATTATGTTTATGTTATTAAAAATATGTTTACTTAACCCGTAGTCTGAGGAGGCCTAACCTCTCATAAGCTTCTATAGATTCTATTAGGTCTCCTTGCCAGTTTTTTTCTGCGACTTATATTATTTGTAATTTCTATTTTTGTGTGGAAAATACATAAAACAAACAAATAAAGAAATTCGAAATGGGTTGCCCGTGTGTCAACAACAGAGAGAAGAAGAGCGAAGATAAGACCTTGAAGTATGACCCCCTGCATTGGGAATTAAAACAGTAGTTTCCTGGGTACGAAGTGAAACAACGCAACATAATCATAGATGAACTTTGTATTGGGGGTGGTTATGAAAAATGGACTTAACCATGGACGAACTTGTGGAGAGCAGAAGTAAAGAGGTGCTGAAAAGGCTGCAGAAGGCGGTGCACGCTTAATATTGACCAGACATTCAAAGTTGTGACTTGAGAGACGATTGAATTTAGAAGAATTTTATAATCATTTTTTATTTCATTTTTAAATAAACCTAGTTTACGCCAATTTTGGATTCTGTTTTTTTTCTAGCGTTTCATTGCCTCGAGGCAATGAAACAGTAAATAGACTACTCAATATGAGCACATATGGATTTTAATACAGGTCTGAATTACCTGGATTTGTTTATATATATATATATATATATGTCTTTTTCATATACATATATACAATCAACTCTCTCTAAGACAGACACCTTTGGGACCATTACTTAGTGTTCGTCTTAGAGAGATGTCTGTCTTATAGAGAGTTAAACAAAGGGAGTAAGGAAAGGCAGGGACCAACTCTAGGTGTCCGTTTTACAGTGGTGTCGGTCTTATAGAAAGGCAGGGACCAACTCTAAGTGTCCATTTTACAGTGGTTTCGGTCTTATAGAGGTGTCTGTCTCAGGTGTCTGTTAAGAGAGAGTCGACTGTTGAAATATACGGATTCCAGATCCAACTAAAATTACTAAAGTTAGGCGGCAAACTGTGACTACCTTTGTGTCTTCTAAATGTTAGGTCAATTGATTAAAAATATGCCAATATCTGCATTACATTGCATGTTAGCTAAAATGATTGTATCTATAAACAGAATAAAATCTAAATCATCTAATTTAAGAATAAACTAATTTCCTTAACAACAGGAAATATTCCATCGTCCATTATCTAAAATAATACTGAATGCAATTGAAAGACATATTGTCCTTCACTTATGATCGCACGTGTTTCGGCCTGGCACAAGACTTTGACGGACCTTGCGTTGTTAAGGCCACTACTTAGAACAACTTTCTGCATCTTCCTAAGAAAAATTCTTTGTGTTTCAATTCTTAAATTGTACAGCATTCTTGCATTCTAAAATTTATAACGGCAGGCCCATTAAAAAGTTGAATATGCCGCATAGAGGAAAATGGAAATTTGCATTATTCTATACAATTTTTTTAAGTTACAACTATAGATTTTAAAACACCACTGTCTGATATTATACTTCTTCTTAAGGGTGTCGACTAGGCTTTTAAACGGGGAGGGGGGGGGTTGCTAAAATCTGAAGGGGCATATAACCGATATAATACAAATGCTAGGAAACGAGCTAGGCATTGTTGATTTACTGGCATTTAATTATATTTAATAGAATTTACTACAGTCTTAAGAGACAAATCAAATCTAACACATTAACGTCACTGGAACACAACCAGACATAAGATCAGACGTTACCCTTTACGATCATCTTTGCTACAATTATTAGAATTTGTTATGTGCAGTATATAACACTGAGACTTCGTGCTTTAAATTTGAACTAATCTTTTTTGTACAAACACTTTACACGAAATAGCCCCTCGTTAAGTTGATCCTGCGCTGATTTCAATCCTGTTTAGTGTACTTGACAAGATGTTTGTAGTTTCATTAAAACACATAAGTGAAAATGGTGTAACAGTCTTGTCGTTCTGCAGTAGTTTTTCTGTTTGAAGTAGTGCAGATTTTTGGGAGTGTTCTTAATATCAGTCAAACATGGAAAACTTAAGGTGCTTTTATCCGAGGGGCCTTATTAGCGGATGTGTTTTCTACTTACAGGTAGATGGCCCTATAACCAGGGGGCTTATAAACAGTAGTACGTTTACGGCATTGTATGACCTTGTCCTCAATTTGGATGAGGTAAATCAACCATTTGATGTTGAAGGCTCTACGTTACTTCAGAGCGTTATATAGAGGCAAAGGAAGTGGCATTTTCTTTCTGTTTTCAGGCACTCCATCTGCTCCTTACAACCTAACGAGTAGTTTACGTCGAAACGAAAACCCACCATTTGCTGTAAAACTATCGTGGAATCAACCTGATGAAAATGGTGGTATGCCTGTGCTAGAGTATTCATTGGAATATAAAGTTCCCGGCTTGCCTTGGGAGGACGGTGAAATGAGAGAAACTAACGACAGACACATGCTAGTCTACAAATATGAAGAATCGTACAAATACGAAGTACGTGTAAGAGCCAGGAACATATTTGGGTTCGGGCCTCAATCAAAAGTCAAAGTAGTATATTTTGCAGGTATAGTACTCATTTGTAAACCCTCTAAAATAGCACATTCTAAAAAGATGATTGATTTATTTAAAAAAAATCTAAAGATGACTGTAAGGACATGGAACAGGGTATGCTCAAGAGGAGGTAGTATTGACTCTTGAAAAAAGTTATCCATCCTCCTAAGGGTTGATTTCCACAGTCGGGAAATTCTAGCAAGAGTACAAGCGCAAGTAAAAAAGGAACAGTGTATGAAAGATCGCAAAAGTAAAAGTTGATCTCGCTCTAATTCACGTTTAAGAGAAACACCTCATGGGTTGCCTCTATTTCATTTACGCGAGTAAAATTTACGTGCGTGTACACGCACGTAAAAATTAACTCAACCTCGTCCCCAGGGCGCTTTTCCCTGGCTTTGGAGGTGGGGCGGGAAAAGGCCCTGGCATCGGCTGGCCAATCCGTCATTTTGATTGGTTGATTGATTTAGGTAAATCACGTAAGAAATTGGCCAAATGAAAATAATTTATGCATTATAGTGAAATCGAAATGGCGGAAAGCATGTCCGCTTCAACGAAGATTTCTGCAAGAAATCCAGCTTGCAAGCTATGTGGTGGTTCTCGTGATATTCGCTATATACTTCGAATATTCAGCAAGGCTGGCTTATCTAAAGGTGTGTATTTGAAAGTTCATAAAACCTGTGGCAATGCTATAAAATTTCTGAGGACGATCCGAGGTCAGCAGTGTTATGTAGGGGTGGCGTTACATTCGTAAACAAAATGGATCAGTTTATTTGGGGAGCTCAATCTGTAGACAATACGCCGTCTGATCTAAACTCAAAATATTCTGTAAAGCGATGCGTTCAACTTTCACCGCCATCTTCGCATCAGCCGTCGAAGCGAAGCGTCTATATCAAAGGATATGCCACACGAAAGATTCGATGTGGACGAGCCGCAATAAAAAGGGGGTGGTAGACCTACACGACTTTTACCTCATGCCAAAATGCTGCTTGTTCCAATAAGTTTTTTTCCTCTGCTAGGTAGATTATGCTCTGGAAGGTTCTACATTTTTACCGGGCCGCTTGTTTCACACTGAGAGGTCATTGTGCACATATCGATTTATTATGGTTTTTGTTTCTGGTCGGCAGGATTTGCCCTCTGATACAAGAGTTTTTTATTGTCCTCTTTTGAAGCGGACAGCTTTTTATTACGGTTGAATAAGGGTTGTAGTTTTCTCTAAAGTGCCTTTTGGATGTAAACAACTAAGCGATTTTCTTTAGCCCGGGAATGAGATGTTTTTTTTGCAATGTTGTATCACGCTGGGCCCAGCTGGTTAGTTTTCTTTGCAGGCATGTTAAATTATCACGGATATAGTGATTAACAGGTCCAAAATTATAAGAATAGAGTGCAGCTTAAACTGAAGCTGCATTAACTATACCAGATAATTGCATTGTGACTCAGTAGACTCGAGCTTAGTGTTTTCGTAAAGATAATATGAGTCTTGACTGGAGCGCGACGTATTTCCTTCCTTGGTAATAGCTTTGGAATAATAAAGCCTTAACAGTGTTTGGGCTGTTTTGTTATTGCCACTTTGTCATCAGGCAAGACCATGGCTTCGGTTCTCCACGCGAGCCTCATTAGTTGCCGCGTTGGCTTTGTGGTTAGTTGCTTTTACAAGAGCAACTTTTGTTGTTCCGGCTTTATCGTGTGGAGAACGGTACAGTGCCGTGAAATAGCATCGACTTGCCAGATCCAGTTGGTAAGACTTCAATAATATCCTGGCCTTTCAGGATAGATTCGAAACATTTTACTTGAAGAGGTTTAAAATTAAGCGATGGAAAGTTACCGTTACTCAGGGAAAATCTGACCCGGCCAAGCACTGATAAAAACTCTGGTCTACCCGCCATCTTCCATGTTTTGTTTATCGTATGCGATCATACGCTTAGTACACCCACAAATTCTTGGTGTTTGGTGGTCATGTGACTGGCCGATACCAGGACCTTTTCCCGCCCCACCTCCAAAGCCAGGAAAAATGCCCTGGGGACGAGGTTGACCCTAACTCTCAAAACGACAAACGGCCTTGTGAAGAAAGCCCTTCTCGAATAATTAAATCGGAATAGTGATTGTAAGATCCAAGTGTAACAATTTTTCTTGATTCACTTTCCTATTTGGGTGCATTAATTAAGCTTATAATTTCGATGACCTTAGTTTCTTTCGCGAATTTTGTCTTGTTCTTTGTGTTAATTTTGTCCCCTCGATAGAGTCTCATTGCTTCTTCATCTTCACTAGCTCCTTTTAGAGTTTCTTTACTTTTCTTTTCTTTATATTTAATCTTATTTTACATTGCACTTCGGCAATACAATTTTCAGTTTGTTTTGGAATGCACTAAGAGCAGTTATCTTCAGTGTTGTTTTTTTTTCTTACGTTTCTTGGCCTTTTACGCAGTGTGCTACCTCAACAGTTTTCTCTGGCCGTAACAGTGTAAGTGTCGTTCAGGTGTTTTGTTTCTTTATGGGTCAGAATTCCACTCGTACTCGCTTTTCAGTGTGCACAACTGAGAGCCATAAATATATCACCCACCACCCAAGATGGCGACCGGCCGTGTCCGTTTGGCCTCTGCGATCTTTCTAATACTTATCCGTCACTGGCTTAGTAAACCAGCGCCAAATCACACTAATTACAGCTCTAATAGTGTGTTCCAGCTATGGAGGTTTTGCAAGCCCACTCCCGCAGAAAAATCGCTTATCAAACTCAAGCCACTTTCAACTCGTGACTACACTAACCTCGATAACTTTGTTGTCGGTCTCCTACTGCTCTGTGGTGATGTCGCTTCTCATCCGGGACCTGTGAGCTCCTCAGAAACTATTTCAGTTATCAAATGTATGGTATCAAACACACAGAGCCTGAAGAGCCTAAAGAAAGTTGTAAACAGCAACGGATCAATGCGGTCGCCTGCAATCTACACCAGTTTCAAGACCTGGTGTACTCAGAGGATATGGATGTAGTCTGCGTCAATGAAACCTGGCTAAAAGAATCCATAGATAATTCTGAGATCCTTAAAGATAATTATATAATGTTGAAGGAAGATCGATCTCAAAATCGTGCCGGTGGTGTGCTTATCGCAAGCAAGAACACGGAGTTCAAGTCTATACGCGAAATCCCTCTACCTGAAGAACTACAAGAACTAGAGGTCGTAGTGGCTTCCGTCACAACTTCCCAAGATCGAAAGATTTTATTCTGTTCTTTCTACCGACCGCCGGATCTGGATTTGTGTTGGGTTAATTTATTCAATAATTTTCTGGACTGGTTTTGCGAGGACTTTGACAATATGGTAATCTGTGGCGATTTTAACTATCCAAAAATCTCATGGGACGCCTCTGATACCTCCAGGGGTGCCAATGAACAAGCATTTGTGGAGGCGTTACACGACCACTATTTAACTCAAATTCAACGCAAGCCCACGCGTGGCACTAGTGTTTTAGACCTAGTTATCACTAGTGTTCCAGACAACACAAGCGTGTCCGAAGTCCTAGAAATAGACAAACCTGGTTTGTTCACGGATCATCGCACCGTCTTCTTCGAGTTCCGCACCTTAGTTAAGGCCCCTGTCAAGACGCACCGTTCTGTGTATGATTTTCCAAAAGGAGACTTTGACGGCCTTACAAACGCTTGCGTTCAGTTAATCTTACTAGTGTGGTGGGTGAGGGTGACCTTGAAAGCTGCTGGCAGATTTGGAAAAACCTGTTTCTTGCTGCGGTGAAAGACAATTTTGCAACCAAGCGATTAAGAGGTGGAAGCCCCGTGCCCTGGCTCACAGGTGCCGTAATCAATCTTATCAAGAAAAAGGAAACCGTACGCAGGAAACTAAAATTGCACCCGTCGGAGTTACTAAAAGTCAAATTTCAAACTCTGCGTTCACAAGTAAAGCGCATGATCAGAGAAAGCAGGAACGAGTTCTTTGAATTGAGTCTGCCAACATCGAGTTCAAGATTAATCCCAAGCATCTCTGGTCAGTATTAAAAACTCACTCAACGTCGCGCAGCATATCATAAAGTGTCTCCATGGCAACTGGTAACCTACGTGCAACCGCTGACACTCCAGAAGAAATCGTAGACATTTTTAATAACTATTTCACTTCAGTGTTTTCTGTTTCTCAAGAAGACAAAGAGGATAACGGCGCAGGAAAACTCCCAGCCGCAGAACCTCCCTTTAGCGATATTGTGTTGCACGTCGGCGAAGTTGAGGCTGTCCTAAAATCACTAGACCCAAACAAAGCCACTTGTCCAGATGAGATCCCGGCTAGAATACAAAAGGAAACCACCACTACTACTGCTCCATCACTGTGCAAGCTGTTCAACAGGTCTCTGGGGGAAGGCTACATACCGTCTGAGTGGAAATTGGCCAATGTAGTGCCTGTTCATAAAAAGGATGAAAAAGGTCATGTTGAAAACTATAGGCCAATTTCCCTACTTTGCATTGTTTCTAAAGTCCTCGAACATTGTGTCTTGAACCACATCAAGGACCGATTAGAAGATCTGATTGCGGTCTGTCAGCACGGGTTTCGGAGTGGACGTTCATGTTTCACAAATCTACTGGAGACCCTAGATTACATCCGAGCTATTCTTCATAGAGCTGGTCAAGTAGATTGTGTGTATTTAGACATGTCCAAAGCCTTTGATAAGGTTAGACATGACCTCCTTATGGAAAAACTGCGGGATGCTGGCTTCGGAGGGAACTTGCTCACACGGTTTCACGCGTATCTCTGTGGCAGGCGCCAACGTGTCACCGTACTAGGCGTGACATCACGTGACCTACCTGTCATCTAAGGAGTCGCACAGGGTTCAGTACTCGGACCTGCTCTCTTCTTGTTATATGTGAACAACATCCAAAGAAGTGCTACCAAATTCATTCTTTGCTTGCCTTTTTTAACAAATATCTCTTAAAAAGAAAGACTAACATGAGTAAACCTACTTCCTGCGTGCTACTGACATGAGTTACTAGATCTAGTATACTTTTACAAGGCTATGCATTATATGATTCACTTAGATCCGTCTGTTGTTCCCGTCGTGGGCGAATGGGCGCGAAGGACCCGAATATCCGTAACGAGCTCTCAATCTTTTGTGCCTAAAAAATGCAGGACTTCTACCTTCCAGAAATCTTTTTTCATTAGAACCACTAGAATCTGGAACCTGCTTATTACTAGACTTGACCTAGATACTGTTACTATTGAGAACTTTAAATCTGTTCTTTACGGTTATTACTCGCGGGATCTAGCAATAAACTATGACCCGGACTCTCCAAGGAGCTTCAAAACTATTTCCTTGAAGTGTAACACAGCCAGGTTCTTAGACCAGGAAATTAGCTGCTGCGTGTGATTTCAATTGCTACTTTCATATTTTGTATTTTGGGTCCCCAGTAATTGGCTTTAGCTGTTTCGGTGTCCCTGGTCAAATTATTTGAGTTATTATTAGTGTATTTTTACGCTCTTATTACTAGTATTTGCATATCTTCAGTTTTTTTGTATTCATCAGGGCAAAGCTAATAAAATAAACTATATAAAATGTCAAATTTTCCTTTGTCGCAACTTATAATTTTTTGTTGCTCCCTTACTGTTTTTAGTTTCAACTCACCCACAGCCACGCTCTTCATTCCGCTCTGTAGATCCCTGTATACGTTTGGACAGATTGTTCATCATTCAGTGATGTAATATATTAGGTTCCAGGCTCCTTTTATTTTGCACTTGCGCAGTACATTAAAAATGGAGGACTAGCACATGGTTCGTTTTCACGCTGTAGTTTCATGATTTAAATATTACATTTGGCGACGAGGATGGCGCTCGTGGGGGCAAGTAGGAGACTATATCGGCGGGAAAGAAGACATTGCCAGTTATAAAGAACGAGTGGAATTGTATTTTGCGGCGAGTCACTTCGAAGCGGATTACGAAGTTGCTACGTTTCTAGCGTTAATTTGGGAAGATGCATATGGCTTGGTCAGGAATTTGTTAGCCCCTGAACTTCCGAAAGATAAGTCTTTTGATGAGTTGAAAGAGCTTTTGGTTTCACATTAGTTGCCTAAACCTATTTTGATCGCAGAAAGTTTTAAATTTCATCGTCTGAACCAGCATGAGAGTGAAACGGTCGCACAGTTTGTAGTTGAGTTGAAGCGACTGGCGTTGAAGTGTGAATTTGAAACTTTTTTGGAAGACGCGTTACGGGACCGTCTCTTTTGTGGATTGAAAAGCGTGCAAATTCAGAAGAAGCTGTTGGCAGAGAGAGACTTGACTTTTAAGAAAGCGTTTTAAACAGCACAATCCATGGAGTTAGCCAACAAAGGAGATTTTCGAGACACCAGTGTGCCAGTGGACGATACCGTCAATAAGGTCGGCAGATATGCCAGTTCAGGGCATTCGACTGGAGATGCCGTGAGTTGTTTTCGTTGTGGTGGAAAGCATTCTCCGTCAGGTTGCTGGGCCAGGTCTGTACAATGTTACAAGTGTCACAATAAGGGTCACCTTGCTAAGATGTGCGATAAGAAAAGGAATATACAATCCACGCGTTATTTGGAGGTTGATTCAGCTATGAGTACTACTGAAGAGCAGTCTGGGCTGGGAATGTACACTCTCAAGTCTAAAGGACAAGTGGATCAGGGTTTCAAGTTCAGTTATTGTTAGAGGGTAAGCCAGTCAGCATGGCAGTTGACACGGGATCAGCGGTTTCCATTGTCTCTGAGGTGGAGCATAATAAGTGGTTTAAGCACCTCAAATTGCAGCCAATGCAGTTCCACTTGAAAACCTATTCTGGTAAGTTATTACCCTTGTTGGGGGAAATTCGAGTCGCTGTGAAGTATCAGACTCAGGAAATGCAACTACCTCTGGTGGTCGCTCAAGGAAAAAAGCCTGTGTTGCTTGGGCGTAACTGGCTTGAGAAATTGAACCTGGATTGGTCCACCATCGCCAAGGTGTCTCATGTGCCTGCTGCGGAGGATGCCCTTGCTAAGTAGGAAGCCCTGTTTGAGAAGGGCATGGACACATCAAACTGTATAAAGCCTCCATTCAGGTCCGTGAAGGTGCACAGCCCCTATTCCTGAAAGCAAGACCCGTTCCATATGCTCTTAAAGAAAAGGTGGAGCGGGAGCTTCAGAGACTGGATGATAAAGGGATTATCTACAAAGTAAGTGGAAGTGACTGGGCTGCGCCAGTGGCGTTGGTCCCCAAGAAAGATGGTTCACTGAGAGTGTGTGGCGACTACAAGACGGCAGTGAACCCGTGTGCTGGTGTCGACCAGTACCCTTTGCCTATTATAGAAGATTTGTTTGCGACGGTAGCTGGGGGACAAGTATCTAGCAAGATTGATTTATCTCACGCGTATCAGCAGGTACAGCTGAATGAAGACTCGCTGAAGTACCTAACAGTTAACACACACAGGGGTTTGTACTGTTACAAACGACTGTCGCTTGGAGTCTCCAGTGCACCAGCTATTTTGCAAAGGACTATGGATCAGCTTCTGCAGGGGGTTAAGTTCACAGTTTGCCGTTTGGATGACATCCTGATTTCAGGGGGTTCCCCTGAGGAACATTTCGCCATCCTGGAGGAAGTTTTCAGGCGCTTACAAGAACATAGCATCAAGTTGAATCCTGCGAGGTGCATTTTCTTCCAGTCGGGCCTTGAGTTTCTCGGACACTGGATTGACAAGAATGGCATTCGTCCCCTCCCTCAGAAGATGGATGCACTCATGCAAGCCAAGAGTCCTACCAATGTCACAGAGTTGAAGTCGTATCTGAGACTGCTTAACTGTTATGGCAAGTTCCTGCCCGATCTGGCGACTACACTGCATCCTCTTCATGACCTTTTGCAAAAGGATAGATCTTGGACGTGGACCGAGGCGTACAACAGAGCGTTTGTTAAGAGTAAGAAGCAGTTACAAGATTCTCCTTTGCTGGTCCATTATGACCTGAAGAAGTCACTTTGGCTGGTCTGTGATGCATCACCCTATGGGGTGGGAGCGGTTATCTCGCATGTTATGGAGAACGGCGAGGAAAAGCCTATTGCTTTTGCTTCTCGAACTCTCAAAGCTAGTGAGTGTAACTATTCCCAGATAGAGAGAGAGGCCTTATCCATCGTGTTTGGAGTGAAAAGGTTCCATTCGTATCTGTATGGTCGGGGGTTCACATTACTTACAGATCATCAGCCGCTGGTCACAATTCTTGGGCCGAAGGTTGGTGTACCTCCACTGGCCGCAACAAGAATGCAAAGGTGGTCTTTGATTTTAGCAGCTTATCAGTATGAAATTGAGTATAGGGAGTCTGCTGAACATGCAAATGCAGATGCTTTGTCAAGACTGGTACTGAACGCTGCTATTGTTGAGAGGGTTCAGCAATGTCATGTTTGTGCTGCCTTGGGGACGTTTCCTTCAAGGGCACCATTATACCCTTGGAAATGGCCTGCTAAGCGATGGGAGCGTATCCACATTGATTTCTTTGAGAAGGGCAAGTTGAATTTATTGGTTGTTATTGATGCCTATACCAAGTGGTTGGAGGTGATCCCCATGGGTTCCATGACCAGTTTGAAAACCATCTAGGTTTTGCGCTCGTTGTTTGCACGTTACGGAATAACGGAAGAGGTAGTTTCGGACAATGGGTCGCAACTAGCATCGGAAGAGTTCTCTCAATTCCTGAAGCAGAATGGAGTCAAGTTTACCCGGGTTCCACCGTACCATCCTGCATCTTATGGAGCTGCTGCACGTTCTGTACAGACGGCCAAGACGGTTTCGACCAAGCACGTGCTGGATGGCAAAGCAAATTCCCTCAGTCTGGAGCATAGGCTGGCCAAATCGTAGCACATTTCACTCTGTGACTGGGTAATCTCCCGCTGAGCTGTTTTTGGGACGAAAGATTAGGAACTGTTTCACATTTCTGAAACCCAACCTTCACATAGCCGTGGAGGAGCAACAGTTGAGGCAGAAAGAGCACCACGTACGATGAAGGACGAGTGAAACTCCAAGAGTTCAAGTTGAATGAAGTGGTCTTGGTTCATAGTTGGCGGCGTAGTGGTGAAAGGTGGATCCCTGGAAGGATCACTCAGGTGAAAGGTCCGCGCACTTACCTAGTTTGCTGTGAGGATCAAATACGGTTTGCTAACGTGGACCATTTGAAGAGTGCTCGCTGGATCCAGTCCTCAAGCTCTTGGGAGGGCGAGGAAGATGGTAATTACGCACGGAACTTCCCAAGTTCCCAAGCCGAAGTGAAGAGTGGAGCGTCACTGTTACATTGAGGTGGCCCGAACCTATTTATATGAGTGTCGGTTATGTTTTTGAATGGCCATTTTTCGGCAGGAACGAGTTAACCGATTATTATTATTTTTGGCATCCTTAGTAGACTCTTAGTAAAGAGTGGTGAAACTTTAAGGAAATGTTATTTGTTTTCTTGTGGGTATGCAGTAAAACGTTCGAGATATCGGCATATATTTCAACCGCATCTTTACAAAAAAAATGTAAATAACTTCGAAACCCTAAGACAGATTTTCCAGGTTCGGGCCATCTGAACATTTAAATGCAGGAAAGTCCTCTAACTTAATCTTAATATTAGATGCTGTCTCGATCTGCATCAATGGCTTTATAGGTGTCAACCAGTGTTAAATGTAGCCCTCATTTTAAAAGAAAAGCTGCTTCCCAAATATGATTAACTGCCATATTTTTCAGAAAAACCTGGTCCACCACAAAATTTGAAAAGAGGTCTGGTGTTCTATGAGAATTCAAAAACTGTCAAACTGGAGCTGTTTTGGATGCCGCCGAAATCTAGTGGTGGAATGGTAGTTAGTTATTACATTGTCGAGCACAAGACTGTGAAGACAGAATGGAGCAGTGCTAACAATGAATCTGTTAATGGAACTAGGTTCGCACTTCCAATGAAAGAGTCAGAAACATACACTGTTCGTGTGCGAGCAGTTAACAGGCTTGGCCTTAGTGAACCCTCAAACGTGATCACCATTAAACTGACAGGTAAGTGGTCATTTGCGGCAGGTGAAGTTCTCAAAACTAAAATACACTCTAAGATCGACATATCATATTTAAAAATCAATCTATTTACAAAAGAACTGGGCCACAGACGTTTAGTATTCTACCTGATTTGAAAGAATCTTTAATGGTACAATTCATCAAAATGCCTAAATTGGATGGTTCGAAAGGTTCGTAGCTTTTGAAACAGTTTCTTATAATTTTCTCCAAACAGTTGTATGTGGATATTTTTTTCGGGCAACAGTTTCTCTAAAGCGTAGTTAACGCTAACCCGGCTTAAGGATAAAACTGAGTCGTCAGCGTAGAATTAACAACTTACTGGTGAGCTTACCTAGTTCCTATACGGCGTCTTTCCAGGCCCTCTCGGTCAATGCATTTCGGTGACGTATCCGAGACGAACGGCCGGGAGACGCCTAGACAATCTCGGAGTGCGCATGCGTGAGCATTTTAGCATTTTTGAAAAGTTCACACGCTCAACTGAAATGATCTATAAATAACTTTGCGCGTGAATATCCTTCGCTTAAAGATCGGCACTATTGACACTATTACAAAAATAACCAACCTAGTTCGTGTTACAAAAGAACAAAAATGTTATTTGAATCGGAAAGAATACTACTGTATAACGTGCAAGTAATTTCTCTTTTAGTCCACTTTCAAATAAACCATAAAATGATAGTCTTTATTGATAAAGAGATTTGAAACAGTAGTTTGTTGACATTCTAACAAATTTAGAGACCAAATTCAACAGCCTGTCCGATCAGTTTAATAAGCTTCCAAATCCAAAAATTAAATTACATAAAGTATTTCGAAGTGAAATGATAACGAGAAATTTATATGAACAAGCGAAAATAGAGAAACGAAAGATAGCTTGTCATATCCAAGAATAAATATTTACTTATTTCTTTAGCTTACCTTCCGATTCTTGATCGAATAATTTTTTGCGACGCTGTTTTGCTTAGCCTACAAATAGTTTTTGAGATGAAATAAAGTTCAAATTAGTTTAATGACATACATGAAAAAGAAAGGCCAAAGGACTTTCAACTACGAAAACGTGCGTAGAATAAAAATGCTGGCTCCTCTGTTCTCTCAAAGGCTGCCGGACATCTTTCATCAGCGCGGAAAAGTGATTGACAGCTCGCCCGCTTCCAAAAGCTCCGCCCCAAGTGAGACAAAATGTCTCACTTCTCCGAGTTTGCCTAGGCCTCAAAAACTTTCTCGGACCACGTGACCCGAAACGCATCGGCCTCGCATAATAATGAGACCTAGGGACTAGGCAACTGGTGAGCCATTTGGGAGAATAGTAAGGTCATTAGAATCACATGCTTTCGGGAGATTGGGAATTTCATTCAAATATACATTGTACAGTGGAGGAAAAAGATCACATCCTTGTCGTACACCTCTTCGATAAGGCAAGTAGTTCTTTTGTTGCCAAATCAAATGCTACGTTTCGTGTTAGAGTACATGACATATGTACTGATGTCAGTGGTACTGACTATTTATTTAGTGACAATGTCGCTCGTTATTCTTTCAGAAAGCGACATCAGAAGTCTTGCGAGTTCAAACAGCTCAGGTTCAGTGAGAGCAACGTATCTGTTTGAAGGATATCTACTCCTGTTGACGGTTTTTGAGGCTTTTGCCTTAAAAACGTGAAAGAACGAGAGAAGGGAAACGAGCGAGTTGCGACCTGAAGATATCAACCTTACGAGTTTACCATAACGCCGTACTTTCTTAGTACCTTCTGTTAGAGTTTAGGCAAAAAATTTCTTGAGGCCCAAAAGGCACTACTGCATTTTCTGCCGTTTCGTTCTGTAAATAACTCATCTTTTTGTTTTGTTTCTGCACAATCGTACTTTTAATGAACCCTAGAACTGATTTTAAAATATTACCTTTAATAATCCTCGAGGACATTTTATTTTAACGACTAAAATTCAAAAGCTTCTAATACGGCTAACCGTCGTCACCTTTGTATTTATCTTTTTGTCACTTGTTTTCGCGAAAATTGAACAGCCGGCACTTTTCAGCCAAAAAAGAATATGTCGAAAGGAGCTAAATTTCTATTAAGTATCAAAATACTTAGCAGCAGTCTCACAATTGATTTTGATTTTCAAGTAAGCAAACCCATTTAGCAAAACGAAATAAAAAACAGTTTTACTTGTTTCTTTGTAACATCAAAGGGGATAGGCAATTCCAGTCAAAGTTATTGATGAAATGGAGGCCTTGGAAAGTAATAAAGAAATATAATAAACAAGTACAAAGAACTTGTCTTAACGAGGTAAAAGTAGCGCAGAAATAAATAGATTGAAGACTGCACCAACGTTTCACAAGAACTGCAGCATGAAACAGTTCTATTAGGAGTAACCGTTGGGTGATAACTAAGTATTAGGGAACATTGTACATTGTGAAGGGCGTTTAAGGCCCAGTTCAAATGTCGAATTTCACATGCTGAACTTAATTGCTATTTTATTCATGCATTAAGTTCGGCACATGTGAAATGCGACCTTCGAATCAAAAGTCAAACCTAAGTCGAATCTTGGACTATTTCAGTCGCAGATACGGCAAACGTCGCATTAAATTTAAACAGTCGAATTTAATTGATTCAAACGTAGCACTTCGCGTTAAGTGCGGCACGTGTGAAATTCCACGTTAGAACCGGGCCTAAGCTGCCATATGCGCCCAATTTATTTTTTTCAGCGCGTGCTTATTTGTGTGATTGATGATGGCCGTGTCTGAAAAAGACTACGCTTTGTCCGTTTCATTTTCTTTTTGTTTCAGTTTGACGTATTTCAAAGATGGCTACAGTTTTAAATATGGTACTTGTAAGTCATCAGATTTTTTGTAAAAAAGGAAAAGATGAAAAACCTCAAGGTAGCAAATATATTGTTAATATTTCTTGAAAATATTATGTTTTTTTGCGTTCAATAAACAAATTTTAGACGTTTTGCTGCCTCACTTTACTTTTGTTTTGTTTTTTTAATTGTGGATTTTTCTAAGTTGGGCTAAGGTGGAACTGCCCACTCTAAGCTTGCCCTCTTAAACTGTTTCCTCCCTTTCTCCTCATTTTTGAACCCAAGCCACACCCTTCCGCCACCCTACTCCTAAACGTAAGCATGGTTTTACACCAAACCAAGAGAGAACAAAAAGGTCGCTTACACCAACCCATGAAACCATGGATAATAGAAAAATTGGATAGGAAACTGGCTGACTTGATCTGCTTGCGGACCACCGCCGTTTCTAACTTTTTCAAATCACTTTTCATAGCAAAGCAAGTTGTTTTGTTATTTTCGGGTATAAATGTACAATGACCCAAGGTAGTTTTCAGTTAGGTCTTTGAAAAAGCGAACTGCAACGCTTTTAAAAATATTATGTAAAATAGTGCATTGTTAACTACCAGAATACAACTGGGAAGCAAACTCTCCTGGTTAACTGTAGAACCGTCACTTCTTCATGAAGAAACATTTGTCTTCCATAAGGCTTAATAAAGCTTAGAAATATATCATCTTTGAAATACTGACCCTTTTTAGGATGAAACAACCTTTAAGTTTTGGTATTGTAGTGTTAATGATATGGATAGGGAAAACTGTAAATCACCTCTGAAAGTGAACATTAACACTGTTCCCAAAGAAAAATAGAAGCTGATTATAAAAAAACCACAGACATCCAGGATTTTTGTTTAGCCTGAGGTAAGTGCACAAGGGCTTGAAAAAAATGTAACTGTCTGGTCACATGTTGATGAAAACAAAATTCATACCCCAAACAAGGTATATGTTTTATTAATTGGATTTAGAATACTTCTTGGTAATTTGGTAACTTGGTAATTTGATTTAGAATACATCTTGGTAAGTTTATCATCTACAGGTACATTGTTGCTTTGGATCTCTAAAAACCCAAATACAACAGTGCTAATCAAGTCCATCTTTGGTTTGAAAAACAGTGTGATTCAGACCGTTTCAGAGAAGGGTTAAACCGAATCTAAAACACATGACTCTGTAGCTAATACATGCAGTAACCCTCTGTAAACAAAGTTAATTTGTCCCAGTCAGAAAGAGGTAATAGATACACCTCAGAAGTGGTGAATAAAGCTTAAAGCAACTTCCGATCATAAATAAATTAGATGCCACCTTCTGGCTCTCTTGTATGACAAAATCAACTTTGCTGCTGTTTAATACAGAAACATTGATTGCCCTCTCAGATAAGAGTACTTGCCACAAATTACTGTCTTCATTGTCTAAATGTGTTCAGCAAATCCTACAAAAACGTCAAACAAAAGGAAAACTAAAACACTGTTTAAAAAATAACAACACTTCGGAGCCTAAACGGAGGCCAATAAATGTCGTTAGGTTTTTTCACATTCATTCTACAATTATTAGTTTATGTTAGGAAAGAGTACAAAAATTATTGGAGTCTCTCCGGTGCCTTCGAATACAAACTGCGAGGAGTGACGTGAGGCGATTGTATTCACTGGATATGTAATTAGTAGTTTTATTTCGACATTAAAAGATGAGCGAAACTAACATAATGCTTTACGATCAATTGGCAAGGTTAATCTAGGATATACACCTAATTCCAAAATGGCGGTCGATCGGATCGATCTGGGGAGAGCGGCGTGGAAACGAGGTATCCAGGCCGGCGGCAAGATCATTCTGTGATAACATATGATAATCGTGTGCGATCATGCCTCAAAATTGCTCTGTTCCATACTGTACTAAGAAAGTGTATGAGGAAAATGGCGTGAAAACTTCTTTTCATAAGTTTCCAGACGACGAAGGTGTGTTCCAGCAATGTTGCAATTCGACGAGATATCGGGGTAAATTTTCAAGTGACATAAAACTCGCGAGTTTGCTCTCGCCATTTTAAGCCACCAGATTACATCTGTTTGCTTACAGGTCGCAAGAAAACATTTAAATCTTCTGCTGTCCCATCCGTATTTCCTTGGACGAAAGGTTCGCCAGCAAAAAAAAGAGCACCAAAGCATATAAGTCTGATCAAGAAAAAAAGCCCGAAGAAAACCTCCGAAACGACAACGATAAGCGACAGCAGCAATTCCACGTGTGTGTCATCTCCTGTAGATTCTCGGGAAAATCAGGAGTCTCCCGATCTTGAGAATTTGGATAATTCTTCTGCTGAAGAGCTGCTCGACGATCGCGAAGAAAAACTTCGTAATTCGGCTACTGAAAAGGCTAACCTAGAAGGGAAAATCCCCAGGGGCCCCACTCACATATTTTAATGACGGGGGGGTCCGACAGAGGTTCATATTTTATACCCCAAAAAATCCCAACTTCAGAATTTGTCCAACCCAAAAAAATCCGTACTTTTTTAGCATACCCCAAAAAAATCCCTCAGTGTTTTTGCATCAGCAAATTTTATTATTTATCTTCTGGAAAGCTAAAACATGCCAACTTCAACTTTGTGAAAGGCCTTGAATTACGTGACCTATTGAATATTTCTCTTTGGATTAGATGCGCGTGGAGTGCCGGTAATTACTTTTCACATAGATTACAATCTCAGAAATAAAAAAAAAAAAGCACTTTATTTGGGTGTCAATGTATTTAGCACGAAAGTACTAATTGGGGACACTATATTTTACGTCTCCAACTGGAGACGGGACCGCCATTTTACGTGGTCATACGAGCCACGCGAAGGTCTAGCCTGTTGCAGTGCAAAGGGAGTACCTTCATTTCTCGGTTATTTTAAGACCCTAAGTATTGGTCCGGCCCCAGGAATCGAACCCGCGACCTCCCGCTCTGCAGTCCACACGCTCTACCGACTGAGCTAACACTGCCGCGGTTAAAAAATATCCCGTAATACCACACAAGCAGTAAATTGCGCTTATGTTATTGTTGATTTGAGCTGATGAAAAATACAATACCCCAAAAAATCCCTGTGTTGTTTTCGCGACCCAAAAAAATCCCGGCGTCTTTCATAGACCCCCAAAAAATCCCTTTTGGCCAAAATGTCAGACCCAAAAAAATTATTCGGACCCCCCCGTCATTAAAATATGTGAGTGGGGCCCCTGGGGAAAAATCAAACAACTCACGATGGAAATAGAACAGCTATCTGCTAAGAACAATTCGTTTCAAGCAAAGGTATTTAGCTTAGACAGATTTATCACGTCAGACAAAGATTTGTTCTACTTTACCGGATTTCCCAATGCTAGCGTTTTGGAAAGTATTCTTCGGTACTTAAATCCTGGGAAAGCAAGGTGAGAACATAAACTATTGGCATTCATCCACAGATGATATGACAAAGTGACAAGGATGCCCCTAAACAAGGAAGGCCAAGGCAACTGAGCCCAAGGGAGGAATTTTTTTTAACTCTGTGCCGTCTAAGACAGGGCTTTAAAGAGGAGCATTCGAGTCATTTGTATGGTATTTAAGCAACTGTCAGTCGAATTGTAATTTCTTGGATTAATTTTATGTTTCTAAAGTTCAGCACCATCCCTATATGGCCCTCCAAGGAAAAAGTTGAAGAGCACATGCCTGCTGACTTTAAGAGAAATACCCTTCTACCAGGGTCATAATTTACTGTACTGAAATCCGCTGCCAAATGCCCAAGAGTCAACAGTGAGCTTTTAGCTCATACAAAAATCACACTACTCTGAAGGGTCTGGTTGTCATCTCACCTGGAGGTCATCAGTCAACTATACACAGGCCATATTTCAGATAGAGAAATTGTTATGCGTTCAGGATTTCTAAATTTATCTTTTGCAAGAGGAGACTCCGTAATGGCAGATAAAGGGTCTACTCTGCAGGATCTTCTTCCCCTTGGTGTCTTCCTTAACATCCCTCCTTTCCTTGGAAGCAAAGGTCAAATGACACCAGAGGAAGTTGTCCAAATACAACAAATTGCCTTCCTTCGAATTCATGTGGAACGTGCAATCAATAAGATAAAGAACTTCCACATATGGGACAGTGTAGTACCATTTACTCTGTTCAGTGTTGTCAATTAAACGTGGTGTGTGTGTGCTTTTTTGTGCAATTTTCAAAATTGCATCATAAGCACATAGATACAGCTAATGATTCTTTTTTCTCATATCAACTAACTTATTGTATGTTGTTTGCTCTCATAGTTAGAGGATGATCGGAAATTGACGAGTTATTTTCAATGGAACAATAATATTATACCTTAAAACTTTTAAGTCAAACCTTACCCTGTCTAATTTACTACTTATTTGTTTCTATTTTAGTAGGGGGTGAATCTTCTCTTTGCTGTTATTTTCTTGGGAATAAAAGAAATAATAATAACAACAACAGTTTCTTTTATCAATCAATGAACAATAAATAGTGCAATACTATATTTTTTCCAATTCTGAAAAATGTTTTTCTCCGCACTATACTTAACATTGCCAAGAAAGGACTGGCTGTCAAAAGAAAGAAAAAGGGGAAAATAGCCCTAAAAAATAGATTATCTGACATTATTTTGAACTCTTTTAGGCTGTTATTTCCACTTTTTCTTTCTAGGGCTGTCACCAAAGGCAAGAGGCTGGGGATTTCCCCTTGTTACTATGAGCACGAACCCCAGCTGAAAAAAATTAAATAGGATATAAAAATTGTGCTACCTTTTGAAGCTCTAGCCTACTTAATATAAACTTGAAAGCTTAGTGACTGCCCTGGGTTTATAACTACAAAATCCCAAAACAATATTTTATGATCTCCTTTTTTAACTGCAAGAAAAGAGACTATGTTTTACTCTATTCTCGTTTAAAGTTGACCGACTTTTTAAAAAATGTAGGGTTCAGCTTAGAGTATCACTAAGTCACACTATTTCCCCAACAACACTAAAAGAATAAAATACGTGGAACATTATTAAACTGCAGCCACTGGAAGAAAATGCTTAAAGTAATAATAATAATGATAATAATAATAATTTATTCATATATAGTGCGCTTTTTAACATACTAGGTGATCAAAAGCGCATTACAACAGTAAATAACCTTAAAACTATACAAATACTAGAATAAAATATGCAAATATATTTAATATCTTAGAGATATTAAACATAATGACGGCGTTTTTGATGATTTTCCGAAATTTGAAAAGAAAAGATTTTTCAAATTGTTTCCCGAACATTTTCCGAGATTTTTAAAAAAATTTCGAAGAATTTCCGAAGATTGCCGAGCACTTTCGAGGAAGACCCTAAGATGTTTTGATACACCAACGAATTTAAGTACAATTTGAGAGACAAACAATTATGATATCTTCACATGTAAAAATATGTATTTTCACGTGTGTTCAGATTTCTCGGTGGGCTTAACACTGGAATAATAAACAAATATATTCAATATCTAAGAGTTCTTAAAAGTAGAAATACAAAGGCTAACAGGAAGAGCGTTCCATAAAGTGGGCGCAACCACACTGAAGGATCTGTCACCAAATGACTTTTTCCTTTGCCCTGACGGATGCTTTAATAAAACACCTTCATTAGGGCGCAGCAAATAGCGCGTATTAGTTTTAGTATGAATTAAACCATTGATGTAACTGGGTGCCGTGCCATGGAGGGCTTTGAAAGTTAGTAGTAAAATTTTGAAATTAATTCTATATCTTACTGGTAACCAGTGTAAATTTATCAAAATGGGCGTAATATGGTCATACTTTTTATATGACATAAGCAGCCTAGCTGCAGCGTTCTGTACTCTTTGCAACTTAGCTATTTCATAGTCCGGTAATCCATAGAGAAGCCCATTACAATAATCAATTCTACTTGTAACGAAGGCATGCAACACCATTTCTAATTTATCCCTAGGCAGAAATTGGTGTATTCTCTTGATATTTTGTAACCAGAAAAATGCCGCACTACAAGACCTAGAAATATGGGTCGACATAGAAAAATGCGAGTCGAACTAGGCGCCGAAGTTACGCACTACTTTAACAGGTTTAATATTGGAGGGCATTTCAACATCAAAAAAATTTTGGAAATGTTGAAAAGCCCTCATAGCCTGTTGAATAGCCCTCTAAAGAGGGCTATTACCTTAAAGGATGCTATAGACCAAGATACAATTGGTATAAGACTTGCACAGCACCTGAAGTATTCATAAGGGATAGAATACACTAGGTGCGCCGTATATACTCTAGTTAAAAATTCATAAATAATATGTACTTTGACTTCCAGACACAAACTGGATATCATCGGAAAGCTAAAGGCAGAATCCCAGATAGAAAAACCCCAATCACTAAAATAAACCTCAAAATTTTAAAGAATTCACCATTACCAGAGTAATTTTTTGTCCTTTTCACCGAAAAAAACCTCAAGAAGAACAAAATTGCATAGAATTCACCCTTAAAAAAAAAATTGCAAAGAATTCACCCTTGAAGAGTGAAAAATGCAAAGAATTCAATATTAAAGAATAAAAATTGTAAAGATTTCACCCTCAAAGGATTTTGATTTTCAAAATTCTTTGAAAGAGTTATCTACAATCGTTTAATGCAATATCTGATGAACTTCAACATCCTCTGTAGTAACCAATACGGCTTCAGGAAAAATCATTCCACTGCACTCGCGCTAATCGACTTGCATGATAAGATCTCTACTGCCTTTGACCGAGGTGAATTTTCCGTAGGTATTTTTCTTGACCTCTCAAAAGCCTTTGACACTGTAAATCATATCATCCTTTTTGATAAACTTTTTAAAAATGTTACAAACATAACATTTCTGGAACACTCTGGCCCATACTGAAGTCCAAAATGAACATACTAGTTAAAGTTAAAGTTAGTTAGTTAAAGTTCATAGTCTGACTTAAAATCTCTTCTCTCTTCCAGAGCAGAAGAAATAGGCTTAGCATTTCGCTTAGGGTGGGTGTCAGGATTAATCATAAAAATTTCGTGTTTGCGCTCTTGAAAACTGTCCAAAAACAAGCTGAGCGGAATTCTGGTCGTATTTTGCGACTATTTAACTGCAATGAAAGGGGTTTTTTGCTATTGCGGGAGGCGCAAAAACATAATTTCCACTTAGCGTAGTAGGGCGAAAAAGTTGGTCAAGATTAAACGTACAAATTTCTTGTTTGCGCTCTTCAAATTGTTTAACCTAAGAAAAGACTTTCAAAAAATATTACAAAGAGTGGGCAAGATTAAACATGAAAATTTCCTGTTTCCGACTATTTAAGTGTAATTCAAGGTTTTTTGGGGCTATTTGCGGGATGTGCTTTACCCAAAATTTGCACTTAGCCTAGTAAGCCAAAAAACAGTTTCCTTTAAAATGTTAACAAAAATGGGTTCCGATTAAATACAAAAATTTGTTGTTTACGCACTTGGAAACTGTTTAAGAACGAAGTTGAAGACATTCTGGACATATTCTGCCACTTTTCAAGTATAATTAAAGGTTTTTTGGGCTTGTCTCGGATGCGCGTAACCGAAAACTTAAACTTAGACAAATAAGCCAAAAAAAGATTCTCCGAAAATGTTAGCAAAATGTTAGGATGAATCATAAAAATTTCTTATTTGCGCACTTCAAAACTGTCTAAAAACTGGCTTGACGACATTCTGGATATATTCTTCAACTGTTTCAATGTAATTAAAGGTTTTTTCTGCTTTTCCTGGATGCGCCTAACCCAAAATTTCTACCTGGTTTAGTAAGCCCAATCAAAGTTTGATTTAAAAGGTTACATAAAAAAGGGTTCGGATTAAACATGAACATTTTT